GGGTGGGGGGTGTGTGTGTCCCCCCGCGCTGTGACCCACAGGGCAGAGACCCCTCGGGGCCGGGGACACCCAGGGTCGGGGGGCGAGAACCCCCCCGGGCTGAGGGGAGAAGGTCGCAGGGGTGGGGGGAAGTGAGCTGGGGGGCTGGGAGAGGTGGGGGGTTCAGCCTGGAGAAGAGAGGGCTCTGGAGACCTTGGAGCCACTTCCAGTCCCTCAAGGGGCTCCAGGAGAGAGGGGGAGGGACTCTGGATCAGGGAGGGGAGCCCTAGGAGGAGGGGGAAGGGTTTGACCCTGCAAGAGGGGAGATGGAGCTGAGCTGTGGGGAAGAACTTGTTTGGTGGGAGGGTGGGGAGAGCCTGGCCCAGGTTGGCCAGAGAAGCTGTGGCTACCCCATCCCTGGAGGGGGTCAAGGCCAGGTTGGAGGGGGCTTGGAGCAACCTGGGCTGGTGGGAGGTGTCCCTGCCCAGGGCAGGGGGTTGGAATTCGATGATCTTTAAGGTCCCTTCCCACCCAAACCATTCTGTGATTCTATGATGATGACCTGAGGCAGGTTTGGGTGATGACCCACACGTCCCTGTGGGTCACTGGGCCAGCAGATCTGCCCAGGGCTCAGCCGGCCCCCCCAGGAAGCTCAGACAGGTAAAAGTTTGCAGAAAGGGGGTCAGCGGCTGCTGAGCATCTCCCGGAGACCTTGCCCAGGGTGGGAACGTGCCACCCACTGTGCCCACTGGTGAGAGCCCACCCTGGGTGGGCGCGGGGCAGGGTCTCCTCTGGGCAGGCTGGTATTTGGCCACCGACCCCCATCCCAGCGCTCCGTCCTGCCGGGGGGAGGGGGGGGGCAGCGTTCCCGGCGGCTCTGAAGTGGAAATGTGGAGTTGTTTGGAAAGCAAACAGAGAGGCGGGAGGAAGGGCCGTTCCCGGGGGCAGCGATAGCCCCGCGCTCAGCTGAGTCCCGGCTTTTCCCTCTGAAATGAAAGTGAGATCTCGATAAAACGCGTCAGCGCTCGGGTCCTCCCAGAACCGCTCCCTTTCCCCTCAGGATGGGGCGTGGGAAAGCGGGCTGCCCCCCCCCAGCCCCAGAGACAGCCCTGGGGACCCCCAGCCTGGCACCGGGGGGCGATTTGGGGTTGATGAGGAAATAAGGACCTGGGTGTCAGCGGGAGAATTCGGACCAGGTGAGCCCCATGATGGAGGTGGGTGCCCTGGGACCACCTCGTCCCCAGGACTCTGGTCCCTGCAGCCCCCCCTGGGCTGGGACACAGCCCACGACCCCGGGGACACGCCGCAGAGACGTGGCCACGAAGCCAGAGCTGCTCGGAGTCCACCAGAGCTGACCCCCTCTGCGTGCCCCGGGGGTCCCCAGCTGATGCTGCTCTCCCCGGGCAGGAGCTGTGCCCCAAAGCCCTGCCAGGCTGAGCTCTCATCCTCCAGGGGCTTAAAACTCGTGGTGACATTTCAGTAGTAACGTGGGCTCAGGATTTGGCCCTTAAACCTGGACTTCCTGCGCTGGGTGATGCAGAGGGGGTGTCACCCCCCACCTGGGAAATGGGGGGAGCAGGTAGGAAGAGGCAGCTCACCGGTGTCCTGCTTCTCCTCCGCTCCCACACAATGAAAGCCTTTTTTTTTTTTTTTTTTTCCCTTTAAAAAAGGAACTTGTCCTGTTTCACATCCTGCCTGCTGGGACAGCACTGTCTGCCCCACCGAATCCTTTTGCCTCCCCCCGGCTTCATGCAAGGGACCCCCCCCCAGACACTGCAGGCAGGAGAGGGCAGCTATTCCCAATTATCACCTCATTAAATGGGAAAGAGATGTTCCCGTTCCTCTTTTAAATGATTTGTGGGGCTGGGGGGGTGGTGGCAGCAACTCCCTCTTGGGTCCCTCATGGCCCTGGGCTGGGGGGGCAGGAGCTGCCCTGTCCCTCAGCTGCCAGGGCAGGGGCTTGAAGAAAAACCTCTCGAGCATCTTTTCACTCCCACTTCTGCGCTCGCCCTGGTGGGTCAGGGGGAGGATGGTGTTTGGGGTTGGCAAAGTCCTGGGCAGAGGACTTTCGGGGCCAAGAGCAGGTCCCCCAGCCCACCCTCAACCTCAGCCACAGCTCGGGGGTGCAGGGGGGGTTGTGGGTGGCCATAGCCCGACCGTGGGGCAAAGGCTCAGCCAGGTCCTGCCTTTCCTTCTGCCTGGTTTGGAGCAATCCTGTGAAGCTGGGCTTTCCGTGTACACTGGGAGTGACCCCCACTCCCCCTTCCTTCTCCTTTCCCCATCACCCTCTGGCTGGTTGTGGCCTCAGCCACTCCTGGTGGCCCGTGGGTGTCCCTGGCTGGGCTGGTGGCCGCTCCTGGCCATGGCTGTGGTCTCTGCAGCAGCTCCAGCCATCGCTCGGGCAGAGCTGATGCTCTTCGGGGGCTTGGTCCTGCCCTCGCTCACAGGCTTGGCTGCTCTGCAAACCTCCTGCCTGCAGAAAAAATTGGGTGGGAGCCAGATGAAAAGAAAAAAAAAAAAGCCTCCTGATACTGGCCAAGGAGTTGTTTTTCACTTTTAATGTTTCCTGGTCTGTGCTGGAGGGGAGCCGGGTCAGCCGGAGCCTGGAAATTTGTTTCCTTGGCACTGGGTGGTGCAGAGCAAGTGCAGGAGAGTGGGAGGAGGTGGTTCGCCGGGGGGTCTCGCCGGCGTTTTTGGGGAGGCAGAGGGGTGGGGGGAGCCGGGCAGAGAGGACCTGCAGGGAGACGTGAGTTGTGTGTCTGGGATTTCCCAGCCTGTCCCTTGGATTCGCTTCAGCTGTGCTC